TTCCTTCTTTCCTTCCCAAGTACCCGAGTACCTCGTCTCTCACCGCACTGCCCGTCCTAGGCCTGGTCCGTCCCTGTACTATAGGTACGTACCGATGTACCCAAGCAATCTCATGTCATGTGCCAGCAAATCAACATCCTGCTTTGGTACCAGCCTCCCGACGGGCCCACTCCGATCAGCCAGTCACAAACGTAAAAAGACACTGGTCCCGCCCCTCAAATCATCTCCTCGCATTTCTCGTCCTCCTCTCCTCCTGCACGGCCAATCAGTCCTCTCTGCTCCTCCACTCTACGCTGCAAAAAAAATTAGGGCCTCACAAGCAATCAGATTCGCCCAAACATCTCGAAACAGCAGCTCTCCCAGGTCAGTATCGCTGGCCACTCACAGCTCCTGCCGGCATAGAATTTCTATTCGCCCAGCCGCCCGCCCAGCCCTGCATCGCGATTAACTCGTGCACCGCGCTGCAGAGCTGCCGTCCACTCAGAGCCTGCGATTGCCTTTGCAAGCTCTGACCACCCCTCCGCCAATCTTTTTTGATCGGGGAAGCTGGAGCTCCCACCATTGGGAGAGCTTGAACCTGCGTCAAAACGGCTACCGGGGATTTCCAAGATCTGCCACCAGCCAAACAGCTTGCAACCGACCAGTGCGCCTTGGGTCATCAACCAGTGGCCTGACCTGCGTCGTTGTCTTGGTTGCTCTCTTTCCCAGTGCATCACTGTTACTTCATCTAGCCCGGCCGTGGGCTGCTGCATTTGGCATTGCGTGCCTGTGACAAGTCCGGGTCGGCCCCCGCCTTCGGATTGCGACGTCAGCATTGCTTTGTTGTTTTGCCTTACAGTAAGTTGAGCACCCCCGAACAGCCGAACCCAGGTTGGGTCTGGCCTAAGCCTTTCACTGGGCCTCATTCCCTTGCCCACCCCTCATTACCAGCGTCACCCACCAAGCCCCCAACAGCAAATCAGCACGCATTTTCACCTTCACTGCCCTCGTCTAATCCTCACATCACCGTCCTATTCGCGACCGAGCCGGCCTATCATTCATCTCAGTTGCCATCTTGCCATCTTGATTGGATACATTACTTATCAGGTGATAGGACGCGTCTGCGGTGTCTTTCCTTTCCTAGGACGCGCGCAAATCTTCCCGAAGCCCTGGACGGCGCGTCGAGGATTCTCTCGTGCTTGGGTTTATTGTGACACAATATAGGTACGTATCAATCTACTTTATTCAATAAACCTGCTCTGGCCACCTCCATACTGTATTACACGTCTGCTGCTGGTCATGACGGCTACCTACTTGTCCGTTCGGGTAGCCCTACACTTTATTTTGACGCGAGGTGTACAAAGCCCCCCCTTCAATGCTACAAACCTCCCGAGCCATTGAGTTGTTCGCATACTAGTTGTTGCTGCAGCTTCTTGGCGGACACGCCTGGCCAATCCTTTTCTTCCCTCCAGGACACTTCTGTTGATCCGAAATCGTTCCTTTTTCACTTTCTTCATTTCCCCGAACCTGTATTTCTAGTTCCATTTCTATGTTTAGCTGACCTGGAGGCAAGCCATATATCTTTGGTGAACCTGCAGTCCAGTTCTTACCTGGTATGCATCGCTTCTTCTTCTTGCCCACCACCAAACCCACCTTGGCTGCACCCTTCTCTCCCCGAAGCCAAGTATCATCTCTTCCCTCAGGCCTCATGCACGTCAGCCTGCCTCACTCCCTCTGCCACCTTTATCACACATCCCCTCCACCATTTTCGTGTCGGGCATCGATAGCTCCTATGTCGGCATTTTACCTGTCACCTCGACCTTGCGATTTTGGCCGGTTTTGCAACGTCACCGCTGCAACCTCGCTTCACATCTTTCACCCATCCCAATCATCACGAACACCGCCTCATTCTGATGCAGGCTGAAGTACGCCAGTGGCTGGCTGCATTGTAGGGCTTTCTCGGGCTTTCTCTATACCGTACTTTGTTGCTGCTTCTACCGCCGGCCCAGTGCCAGCTCCCTGCCTCTGCAAGTGCAGCGGTGCCCTCGAGTGACCGACTAGTCAGGCTTCTTGCACTAGGCCCTGGTTTGTGCATGCCCGGATATGCACGAGAATGCCAGCGCATCACGAATGCGGCCACCGGCGGCCCGCGACCTTCTTGGGATTCGGGGCCCCCGTCCATCCCTCACACCACACACCACCCAACTGTTTATTTTGATTTCCCATTTCATGCTAACGAGTCTGGTTGGGCAGATATTGTAGTCCTCTATTGAGAAATCCTGGGGAACCCGAGGTCTCTTCTTGTTGCTTCATTTGTTATCATTCGTTGTAAGCATCCCACGTTTTGGCGCCCTCACCCCACGACTGCAACTCCAGTCTGCATATTTCTGTGGGCGACATTGAGGCTAGCACGCCTGCCACACAACCCGCGAACTTGCCAGCGCATTTTGCATACCCAATAGGGTCGGTGCCTGACCCAGTTACTAGGCGGCAGCCCAATCGAAGCAGCGTACGCCCAACGCGTAGACACATTTCAGCAAACATAAACCCCTGACCTCGCTGAGTGGTGCGAATCAGGTGTCTTCATTCGCTATTTGCTGCTTTCGCCCCTCCTCTATTATCCAGCCTGTTGCCTGTCTAGGAGCCTCATAGTGGATTCAACGAATAGCAGTCTGGTTCTTGACGTCCTCATACCCTAGAGCCTTGTCTCTGGTATGATGGAATACGCGCAGTATCCTCAACAACAACAGAATAATCACTCGGGATTCTCAAGCTCAGGCGCAGCAGCCACCACTATCACGTCTCCTACCGTCAACCAGAACCAGGTACAGACCTCACCAATTCTTGGATCCCAACAGCAAGGAGCACAAACCCAAGGAACCACCATGTACCAGCCGCAGTATAGCGTTCCCCAGCAGGGCATGCAGCAGGTCAACTATGGCATGCCTGGCATCCAGGCTGCCGCAATGGCTGCAACCGCCGCGGCATCTGGCTCAAACTACGGATACATGCACTCAGACCCTAACATGCCTCAAACTTCGCCGAGACTGGGAGGAGCGAACGCGAAGAAGGACGGTCGACACTCACCGCGGCTAAATAACATGCCCAACATGTCCGATCGTCGGATGAGCCAAGTGACGAGCCCGGGAGTCGCCAATGCACCTAATATGCTGAACCAAGCGGGCCGACCTAACGTGGCTGCACCGCAGATGCCAGCTGCTTCAATGCAGCATCCTCAATCACCAGAAATGCCGGCAGGTGCTACTGGAGCTGAAGAATCGCCGCTTTACGTAAACGCGAAACAGTTTCACAGAATTCTTAAGCGACGAGTCGCGCGACAGAAGTTGGAAGAGCAACTGCGCTTGACGTCGAAGGGTCGAAAGCCATACCTGCACGAATCGCGCCATAACCATGCCATGCGCCGTCCACGAGGTCCCGGCGGCCGGTTCCTTACTGCGGAAGAAGTCGCAGCCTTGGAAAAGGACGGCAAGCTTGATGACCTTGGCAAGATCGATGATGGCGAGACCTCGGTCACCCAGAGCACCGGAAGCAAGCGAAAATCAGAAGCAGGGTCACCTGTATCCAACAAAAAGGCAAAGACCGACCACGTCAATTCTGCTGATGGCGAGGACGATGGTTGAATGCCAACATTCAAACAAATATCGACTCTGTCTAAAATAACAGCCTTGAAGTTGTGTCAACTAAGGTTTCACGACGTCACGACACCAGCGATGATTATATCTCCTATTCTTTCATTGTTCTTACGGGGAGTTCGTGTACGGGAAGGTGTTGGACTGGTTGGTGGTGCCCGTTGTTTTGCGGATCACATGGGCCAAGCTCAAAGTATATGGCTTGAAGAGTCGTATCCCGGTGCTGCTTGACATGCTGGTGATACGACTAGCATCCCACTATTTTCCTTTTGTTTCAACCTAATGTGCATGGCATATTACACCGGGCCTTGTTAGTCCGGAAATACAGGAAGTGGGCAGAATGTATGGATGACTTGATACGACGGATACCCCTTGTTCTTTGATTTTGTTTCTACACACACCTTATCCTGTCTTCCTTTTCCTAGCTCTGATCATGTCAATTTTGCGAATGGGTTCATGACTCTTGTTGGGAAGAAAACGGGATGTTGGGTACAATGGAGTTTTCCATTTGAGAGGCATGCAACATTTGCTTTGGAGCTGGACTGGACAGGCATCATAGGAATACCTACCCCCCTCACCCCCCCCCCTTCGAAAAACGAAACCAAAAAAAGGTTGAAATACTGGAAAGAGAAAGAAAGACTCCTCCGTCGGGATTGGGCACAACGCTCTCTGAACAAGGCAGGAAAGAGATCACAGGATCAAATATGTGTTTTATTTTTTCTATTTTTTTATTAACTTACTTACTTCAAGCCAGTCTTATATTCTGTTTCCCCCCTTCAACAATCATCATGTATTGAGCCCCTGGATAACTAGATAAATATGAAAGTGGAAGTCCGTCGCCGGAATTGAATTGTTTTCGTCTAAAACTTGGTGTTGATTGGTAAATGTGCAGCTGATATCAATGGATCCCATGTGTCCCCGTGTAGAAAGCCATAGTTCTGGGACAATGCGGGGGTGGGGATGTAGATTTGGCGCTCTCAGTGGTCGGATTTATTGATCCGCGGGGATGTTCGACCTCATTTTTTTGGCCCGACGTACGGACCGACGTCAGCATGAGCCTCGGCACGTTGGATGCGTTCCTCCTCTGACCGGGATCGCCGAGTTGATCGTCCCCCGGCAGGAAGGGTAGCACAAAATGTAGACCTCTCTCCTTCGAGCTGTTTTGCTTAGCAACAGGAATCGGGATTTATAAACGACCGTTCCCTTGCATACACACCAACTTCTTTGGTAATTGGCTCTTCACAGTCGTTATCGGCAGCACTTGCTACGTGTCAATTGCGCGCGTGTCTTGGGTCACACGACACGACACAGAGCTTGAGTCAGCTAAAGCCATCATCTTGACCCTCGACTTGCGCTATCTTGCCCGGGACCATGGCGGGACGAGTACGGCAACCCATTGACGAGCGGGCGTTTACCGCGTACCTCTCCAACAATGTGCCCGAGATCAAGACGCCGATTGAGCTGAAGCAGGTACGTCCAACTCCCTTTGGCAGACATCAGCGAAGCTATATTGACCTTGACCGTGCGGTTTTCAGTTCGGTTTCGGCCAATCCAACCCGACATATCAGATCACGGCGGCCGACGGCCAGCGGTTCGTCATGCGCAAGAAGCCCCCCGGGAAGCTGCTGTCCAAGACGGCGCACAAGGTCGAGCGCGAGTACCGCATCATGCACGCGCTCGAGAAGACGGACGTGCCCGTGCCCCGCACGTACTGCCTGTGCGAGGACGAGAGCGTCATCGGCACGCCCTTCTACATCATGGAGTTCCTCGACGGGCGCATCATCGAGGACTTCACCCTCCCCGGCGTGGAGCCCGAGGTGCGCAGGGAGATGTGGCGCCAGGCGGTGCTGACGCTGGCCAAGCTGCACGCCGTCGACTTCCGCGAGGTCGGGCTCGAGAGCTTCGGCAAGGGCTCGGGCTTCTACAACAGGCAGATCAAGACGTGGATCACCATCTGCGCGAGCCAGTCCAGGGCCGTCGACGTGGAGACCAAGGAGCCCGTGGGGCAGCTCCCGCACTTTGACGAGACGGTGGACTTCTTCAAGGATGAGAAGTGGCAGCCTCGGGACCGGGCGACGCTGGTGCACGGCGACTTCAAGATTGATAATTTGGTCTTTCACAAGACGGAGCCGCGGGTGATTGGTATCTTGGAGTGAGTTCGCCATCATCTTGGCATGTTTCTTTGACGTTATGACACTGACTTACGTTTGATAGTTGGGAAATGTCGACCGTCGGCCACCCGCTCTCTGACATCTGCAACTTCCTGACCAACTTCTTCACCGCCAGGCACGCCGGCGCCACGCCGAATGACACCTCCGGCTTCCTCCCAGGCCGCACGCCGGGCCTGCCCCAGCCGGAGGATATCCTGGGCTGGTACAGCGGGGAGGCTGGATGGGACCCTTCCCCGGACATGGGCTGGGGCATGGCGTTCAACATCTGGCGGCTGGCGGCGGTCTGCCAGGGCATCGCGGCGCGGTATGCGGCGAGGCAGGCCAGCAGCGAGAAGGCTAAAAATTACGTGGTGACGGTGAAGCCGCTGGCTAGGTGTGCTTGGACTCTGGCGAAGGAGGTGAGGGACGGGAAGTCGAGTGAGCGGGCGTCTAAGCTCTGAGGTGGTGGTAGAGGACGGTTGAGGGTGAATTAGAATAGGAGGCAACATGGGGGTCGATCTTATATAGTAGGTATCGTGTGGCGTTATTTGTTCACGGACAATATCAAGTATATTTACAATCTGCTAGGATCTATAGGCTATTGTTGCGATTTTCAATGCATACCTATATATCTTACCGACTGGTAGGCAGGTTTACTTGTCAATCAATAATTAAAATTAATAAATATAGATTATATTGCTATCCGACTGCGGCCACTGGTAGGATTCTGCCGACAGCTCGGCTTATTCGGTTTATACTTTGTGATATCAGTCTGGTTACTCAACAAGATTGAGCGACAGGAGTGGGTGTGGACATCTTCTGTGAACTGATGCCGAGGTACCATCCATAGCCTGGCATCAACTTGTTGGGACAAGCTTCTTTGCACGCTTTCTAGTTGGCTATTTCTTGCCTAATCCTCCTCTAGTATTCACCATTGCCTCCTTTGGTGGTCCGAGTCAGGTGCTGGGTAAGGCTTGTGGGAGCAGAGGTGTGTCTCCCACCGCCAGTCTGCTGATTCCATTTTACATTTGGCGCTCTAGCCTCGTCCCGCCCCTAGACCTCTTTTCCGTCGTTGACACTAGCTTTTCCAGCCACTTAACAGCAAGCGATCGTCGACTTAACTCGCGCAGCCTCGGTCATGTAGCGGTGTCCTTTTAATGCCCGTGGCCAATCAGGCGCGTGGGATTGATGCTGTGTGGTGTTGGTAGGCGCAAGAGCCAAGTTTTAAGGCTCGAGACAGCGCGGTGACATCAACGCACAGGGGACTTCCTCCAAGTATCTTCGCTATCTCCGGGCGTGCGCAGATACCTCAGGTACCTCAGACTCCCTGCAGGCCCCCAAGCTCCAGGGACCCTGAAACCCGATCCTCTGTAGCCTCCACTAATCAAGAGGCCCTTTGTCTCACATTAATTACCTTATCTGTCTGATCTCTAACAACCGTCATCTATCAACGCATCTACATCCACCTGCTGACCGCATGAACCCGGACTGATCTTCAAACATCCCCGTCGATGATAAGGCAGATATCCTTTTCTCTATTCATAGGCTCGCACATCAATTCACCTTTCTTCCGCCTTGGGTTCCTTCTTTCTTCTATCCTTAGTGGCAAATATACGACCTCACTATACTCTCATCGCACCTCACCGTGACGCCCTGGCGAGGGAGACAGCTCAGGCGGCCTGCGCGGCCATGTCGACCAGACGGAGGATACAGCTGGTCCAGCCCGATGAGCGACGTCCGCTGTTGACCAGCCGAGACTCAGATCGCATCGAGGGTGCTGAGGGGGCCAGCGATCCCCTCTACAGCTGCCGGACCGACCCGCACTCCCATTTGCCCGTCTACACTAACATCCATCGCATCCGACGTGATATTATCAGCGTCGTCGAGGATTACCTGAGTCTGACCCAGCTCACGGATGTGCGTATCAACGTGACCGTTGTCCGTCCACTGGTCGACAAGTTTTATGAGCTTGACGATATTTCTATCGGTAAGTGATGTCCTGGGCTTGCCGCCAATTGTTTCTCTTGCCCCCTCCCTTCGGAATGGCAACCCACTGACCACTCATACTCCAGTTTACTGTCTGTTGGTCAACAGAGCCCAGTTTCTGGAAGAGCAGGCTAGCCTGACCAATCGGCAAAATGTCAATTGGACGCGAGCCACGCTCTGCGAGCTCATCGCAACACGAATTCTTCGGCGCTTCAACGAAGACTATGAGGGAAGCGAGGGCCTCCTCCTCCTCTCTCATATCCTCGTGGCTGGTTTCGAGCCTTTCCAGAATGCGCCTCCCCAGATCCGTGAAGAGGCTTCCCGGAACACGTCCTGGTCCCAGCGCACTCTGCCGTCTCTCGAGGTGGCCATCCTGACTGAGAGCAAACACTTCCTCAGCTCGACCACGTGCCAAAAGGTGGTGAGTGCCATCTACGATGGTCGCATTATCTACACCCCTTCGACCTTTTGGGACATCATCCCCGATCATTACAAGCAGAAGCCAATCTCCCTCTACGACCCGCGTGAATCTCCGTTGCTGAACCAGTATCGTCTTATTGTTCCCCGGACGAGAAGCTTCCTCGAGTCCATCCAGTTTTCTATTCTTCTCACTCTCTACGTCTGTGTTATGATAAAGAAAAGAAAGGACGAGATAGCTTTTCTTGAAGTTTGCTTTGCTGTGTACGCATTTGGCTGGGGACTGGATCAGTTTGCTACTATTCTTGCTCATGGTTGGTAAGTGCTTAGCTCTCCCCTCTCTTAATACCTGCCCACTTCTTGCCTTTTGATATACTGATGGCTGTTATTAGGAACGTATACACGCAGAATCTCTGGTCTTTTCTTGACGTGGCATTTATACTCATCTATTCAATTTACATGGTGCTGCGGCTGCAGGGCCAGCGAACGGGTGACTTGGGAACAGCAGAGCAAGCGTTTGACGTCCTTGCGCTCGGTGCCCCTGTTGTGATTCCTCGGCTTGCTTTCACTCTGTTGTCTGATAATCTCATCTTCTTGTCGCTTCGATCTATGATGGCCGACTTTTTTGCCCTCACCGCGCTGTCTGCTTGGTGCTTCTTTGGATTTTTGCTCTCATTGCTCTGGCTTGGCGAAAACGCCCACTCCATTACGAAGATATCCTCTTGGATGATTTACATTTGGTTCGGACTTGATGGTGTTGGCATAGAAAGATCTGTAAGGCTACGACACCCCTTACACAATGAGGTTTCCCCTTGGTCATAGACACATTTGCTAACTCCCCCCCCGTCTGAATTTCATCGATTCCTCGGCCCAAGTCTGATGGTCGCATTTGCATTCCTTGGGAACACTCTATTTTTAACAATTCTTGTATCTATGCTGTCAAACACATTCAGCACAATCTCCTCCAACGCTGTTGCTGAAATGCAGTTCCGCCGAGCTGTATTGACTTTGGAGGGTGTCAAGGCCGACGCTGTATTCGCATACCAGCCCCCTTTCAATATCCTCGCCGTTTTCCTCTTCCTACCACTGAAATTTGTCGTCAGCCCCCGATGGTTTCACAAGATTCATGTTGCTACCGTCAAGTTCATTAACCTACCTGTGCTTCTCCTCATTGCTATTTATGAGAGACGGTTGCTATGGTCCACCCACCGCGGGAATGCTCGGACTCAAAAGTCTTTTTGGCAAAGGTGGCATCTATCTGCCAGCACGAATTTACGTGGAGTCTTTCAGATCCCACCTCCTGAGGATATCTTCGAAGACATTGCCGTTGATGACGATTTGACACGGCACCTGATCCGGCGACAATTCATGAGACAGACTAGTTCTGCGAACGAGTCGCGGAAAGCTCCGCAGACCCCGTCGAGACGGGACTCCATGTTCCCTGGAATTAGGAAGAGGTTACGTGGTTCCTTTGCTGAGACGGAGGAGTTTGATGGAGTGTCCGCTCGTTTGGACTCGATGGAGAAGTCCATGATGAGGCTTGAAGGGCTTGTCTTCAGGCTTTTGGAGAGGGAGGGGACGGCGGTTGCGGAAAATGAGGGAATGGAAGGCTCCAGTGACAGTATGCTGACTGGCGAGAGCACCGCTGGCTTCACAGCCGAGCCCTCCTTTTACGGCGCGACGCAGTCGGAAGACGTTTCGGACTGATGGAAAAGTTGCATAGATTTTTGCTTTTATCGTCTGCTCATCATTTGCTCGATCATTATTCCTGGATGTAGCATCGGAATAGCCCCCTGGATTTCAATCATAGCCTAGCGTTTATATCTAGAATGGAAACTTGACATTGCTCACGTTCATCTCACCTTTCTTGACATTGACTGACGGACAATCATCATGTCCTGACTCTGCCACAAAACTGTACAACTCCTGGCAGCAGCATTTTAAACCAAGTCAAGTCCAAACAGCCCCATCTCAAAAGCAGGTAGTTCCCCATTAGCCCTCATATACGCCAAGTATGGAATAAGAGCCTAGAAATTGACCAAGGTAGAAGAAGGCCAACCTTCCAACCGATCCAACATGTGTCTTGTCACCTATTTCCAGCACAAGCACTGCAAGCACAAGTGGGTGGTGATCAGCGAGCCCTGCGGCCCCGGGATGGGATTCGCGACGTGCGACACGTTCCGCAACTCAAACTACGTCAAGGACATGCCGGTGCTGTACACGACTGAGAGCCGGCCGTGCCCGCGATGCTGCGTGCTGGCCTGCGGTGGCTGCTACGACCTCAACTCGACGAGGATGGTGGAAAGTATGGGGTGGGGGGTCAAATGGGGGACTGGGCCGGCCAAGGACGATTTGGGCATTGAGATCAAGGTAAAGGATGGCTGTTGTGGTATTCAGTAAAGCTATCGGGGATGGTTTGGATTCTTGACTATAAATCGTCTGGTGGGAGGTGGTGAAGTGGGGATTTTGAAAGAGAAAAGTCAAGCAGCCAGTTTTTTCCACAACGAATCATAACAAAATCAACGAGATTTCGTCTTTGAACCCCTTTTATATATCTGCCAGTACCATCCTGGCTATAGCAACTACTATCGTCGAGGTAGAGAAGCATATCGCGAACATAAAAGGAAAAGCTACTCAATTTTCCTCAGGTCGCACGCACTCCCCACCAATCTCACTCAACCGTCTTAGTGAAGATTCAATATGCTTCCAACTCCCGATACATCACATGTGCCGTATGAGAGGGTCTATGAGCCCGCCGAGGACTCATTCCTGCTATTGGATACCCTCTCATCCGATACCGAGAAGGAGTTCCTGCAGAATAGATTTGTCGACCGTGTGCCTCTGGTCCTCGAGATTGGCACTGGTTCAGGTGTCGTCATCTCCTTTGCGAACGCACATGCACAGACTATCTTTGGAAAGAGGAGCATTCTCACAGCCGGCGTTGACATGAACGCCTTCGCCAGTCGAGCTACGGTCCAAACGGCAAGGAAGGCGGAGCAGGACAACCCAACCGATCATGGCATGTATTTGGGCTCATGCATGGGAGATCTCACTGCACCTTGGAGGGGCCAGGAGATTGATGTCCTGATTTTCAATCCTCCCTACGTGCCGACATCAGAGATGCCTGAAAGGCCAGAGGACTTTACGGATGTTCCTACGCCAGACCAGAAACCCACGTTCGACCATGATTCCTATCTGCTTGCCCTGTCTTATGCCGGCGGAAAGGATGGTATGGAGACGACGGATCGCTTAATCGAGTCTCTGCCTACTATTCTATCCACCCAGGGCTGCGCCTATATCCTCTTCTGCGCCCAAAACCGTCCGGACGAGGCGAGGCAGCGGATCGAGGCTCTGGGGCCGGAGTGGAGAGCCTTAATGGCGAGATCAAGCGGAAAGACAGCTGGCCGGGAGAAATTGCAGGTCCTGCGAATATGGCGGGAGCTTGATAACGATGAGTGAAGCTTCTGGGTGTCGTTTGGGCGCGGGGGCGCTTTTTGCATATATTTATAGTTAAAAAGATAAATAAAGAGGTAACCGAGACGCCTCTCGCCTCGTCTCTCATCACACTCTTCCTCCTCCCCTCCTCTGGTCGATGTGATTATCTCCTTCCCTTTATAGTCCCCAAAGCTGCTCAAAACGAAGAACCCATACATATCACATCTTTTTGTGTCTCTTTAAATATCCGAGAACGCCAGATTCCCTGTGACAGCTTGTTTGTCGTATAAGTCTGCCCTCCTGCTTTCCAACAAAAAGGTACCTTGCCGCATGGGTGATTACGCGACCTTGGTCGAGGCTGGAGGATGTCGAATTCTTCCTCCCAGGTGAAACCCTCCTCTTCTCCAAAAAAATACCACAAGCAGATGATTAACCCCTTCCACGACCACGACCACCACGGCCGCGCCCTCTGCCGCCTCCCCTGCCGCGACCACGGCCCATGCCGCCGCCGCCGCCGCCACCTCCGCGCTCGGCCTCTTTGCGGGCTTTGTTCTTTGGCTTGGGTGCGTCGTCGACCAGAAGGGTATCAAGAGGTAGCGAGTCGGGGAGGATGAAGTAACGGATGGTGGAGCCACGGATGTTCATTGTGTCCAGGGAGATGGGATCCTGGCCCCTGATGGTCATCTTGACGGTGCGGAGGGCGGTGTTCATCTGGGGCGAGACGGAGGCGATGGTGCCATGGACAATGGTTCCTGAAAATCGAATCTAGTTAGCTATCTTTCCCAGTATTGCAACCCTCGGGAATTGGTATCTGAGAGTTGGGGAGATTTCTTTCAAATACCATTCTTGAGCTCAATGGTCACCGTCTCATTGGCGCATTTCATTAAAAACCTGTTTGCGGACTTGGAGTTAGCAAGGATAGCTCTGAGAGAAGCTTCATTTTCGAGGGAAGCTCGGTCTGCGCCGCCGAAAAGACCACTTTAGACAGAGCCAGAAAATAAAAGAGTAACGTACCGGACTAACTTCATGGTAGCGGTTGAGGGTCAGCGAATCCAGTCGCAGAGGTTCTTTGATATGACTGGCACTTTCGCGTGGAATGGGTCGTCCGCGCGCGCTTCGGTCAGCGTTCTGGCGTTCAAAACTTAGATGCTATAGAGATGATCCAGCCGTGCTGCCTGCACGTGACGATACTTTTTTGGCATCCTTGTTGTAGAGCGGGAGAGTGGATCCAGTCCAGTCAAAGATCGGATTAATAATTTTCAAGTCCGCTGCAGCTGAAAGGGAGTGTGGGGCCGGACGAGCTTTATCGATAGCAAATCCCTTGGCGTGCCTGGTGGCATGGGCAATCGCTCGTACAACAATTGTCCATTACAGTTTCTAGATGCAACTTTATTCCCGGGGTTTGATATTCTGAAACTTGTTACATCGACTGGCAGATACATAACTTGCATGCTTTACCCCTCATAATATTGCGCTGTGCTTATTATTATGGTAGCATGGCGATTCATGCCTAGCCCATGCCCGATTCCCTGTTCTCCTCACTCGCTTTGCCCCTCCATCTCGAATATTCCAAAAGCGTCGACGCCGTGGTTCGCAACCAGACAATAACGAGCACCTCACAACACCACAACAATGATTTCTGGGCGAGGGGGTGCAGGAACGCGAGGTGGACGCATCCGACCGCCTCGCCGCATAATTCGAGTAAGTGCTTTCCTTCCTCTCCAATATGTGACCGAAAGTGAATTTCGGAGCGTTCCGGTCTCTCAACCCTCCCGAATCCCTCCTTGATGATCTCTGCACCAAGCCATACGACTCTACACGTGGTTTGGCAAGTCCAGCATGGGTCAGAGTCATTCAAGCGCGATCAGCGGGCTCGACCAGCTTGGCCAAGCATCCTCCCCACCACAACCACCGGCATCGGTGCCATCACATTTCTGCGCATCACCTGCTCCTTGCGAACAGCTTCTGACTAAACGTACGAGTTCGCAGCCCAATGGAGCCGGAGAAAGCGACTTCGATGTCTGCTGGGACCTACTGCGAGAAGCCCTTCGAGACATCCACAACAAGAACTGCAGCCGGCTGTCATTCGAGGAGCTTTACCGAGCGGCGTACAAGATCGTCCTCAAAAAGAGAGGGGATGACCTATATGATAGAGTCACAAAATTCGAGGAGGAATGGTTCTCCGAAAACATTATTCCTAAAATCCAAGAGCTGGTCACGACGAGCCTGGTCAACATTAGCACCGATAATACTGTAGCCTCTGTCAATGAGAGGCGGCAAACGGGCGAGAAGTTCCTCAAGGGCTTAAGAGATACATGGGAGGATCACAACATGTCCATGAATATGACTGCCGATATTCTTATGTATTTGGACCGGGGGTTTGCGCATAATGACCCAAGCCGGGCCTCCATTTTTTCGATGACGATCGCCCTTTTCCGAGATAATATCTTGCATTCATGCTTAGACTCGACATCCGGTAAGAGAGTCATGGAGATTCTGATCTCTGTGATGCTGGATCAGATCAACATGGAACGAGAGGGCGATGTGATAGACAGAGCACTCATTCGAAGTTGCACTAGAATGCTCAGCTGTCTCTACAAGGATCACCATGAAAACGAAGCCGAGAAGCTGTATTTGACATCCTTCGAGGTTGAATTTCTGGCCAACAGCAGGGCCTTTTATGCCAGGGAATGTGAACAGTTGTTACGAGAATCCGATGCCGGCACATGGCTACGACATACCCAGCGCCGGCTGAGTGAAGAGGACGATCGTTGTGAAACGACAATCGAGTTGGAAACGTTGCCCAAGGTATCAAAGGTTATCGAAGATGAGCTCATCCGAAAGCATCTGGGCGAGTTTTTGGCCATGGAGGGTAGTGGCCTCAAGTGGATGGTCGACAACGACAAAGTTGATGATATGTCTATTTTGTATCGCCTGGTATCACGAATTGACGATAAAATGATGGCACTTAGAGATGTGCTGCAGAAACGCGTCGTGGAACTGGGGCTTGAGATTGAAGCTACTGTCAAAAGTACAGACTTCTCAACAGCTGTCCCTGATAAGGAGGATGCGGCTGAGGGCGAGAAGACCAAGACCTTGAACCCTGCGGCCCAGCACACCGCGGCAGCGATCAAATGGGTAGACGATGTTCTAAGGCTTAAAGACAAATTCGACAATCTCTGGACGGCCTGCTTCCAGGAAGATTTGACCATCCACACAGCTCTCACAAAGAGTTTCTCTGATTTTATCAACATGTTCTCTCGCTCCTCCGAGTACGTGTCGCTCTTTATCGACGATAACTTGAAAAGGGGAATCAGGGGCAAGACCGAAGCAGAGGTCGATGCCGTTTTGGAAAAGGCCATTATCCTCATTCGCTACCTTCAAGACCGGGATATGTTCCAGACATATTATCAACGCCACCTTGCACGAAGATTGCTCCACGCAAAGTCGGAAAGCCATGATGTCGAAAAGCAGATCATCTCAAGGATGAAACAGGAGATGGGACAACAATTCACCACCAAGTTCGAGGGCATGTTCCGAGATCTCGCCACATCGTCGGAACTGACCAGTGGCTACCGTGATCGAATGTCTCTCGCCGGTAAGACAATCGATCTTAACATGAGCGTCTTAACGACCAACTGTTGGCCGCCAGAGGTCATGGGCCGCCAGGTACAGATTGGGGAGGATTCGAGAATTACGTGCACCTACCCAAAGGAGATCGAGCGACTCCAGGCCAGCTTTGAGCAATTCTATCTATCGAACCGAAATGGTAGAAAACTCACATGGATCGGAACTACAGGTTCTGCGGACATTAAGTGTACATTTCCTGCCATTCCTGGCAAACAAGGTGCTCTTTCCCGAGAGCGTCGCTATGAGATCAATGTACCAACCTTTGGCATGGTCATCATGCTCTTATTCAATGACATCCCTGACGATGAATGGCTCACCTTTGAAGAAATACAAGCTAAGACCAGTATTTCTACTCAGGACTTAATGAGGACATTGACTGCCATTGCTGTGGCCCCCAAGTCCAGGGTTTTGCTCAAGGATCCTCCGACAAAGTCCATTAAGCCAGGTGATAAATTTTCTTTCAACGCCGCATTCCAGAGTAGGACAGTTCGGATCAAGGCTCCAATCATCAACGCCGTTTCCAAGGTCGAGGACTCTCAGGAAAGAAAAGCAACTGAGGAGAAGAATGCCCAGGATAGGGCTCACGTCATCGATGCCGCTATAGTCCGAATTATGAAGTCTGTCTTTCCTCCTTTCTTCTTATTTTTTCTTTATGTTACATAAGCTAACAACGTTTGCACAGGTCTCGAAAGGAGCTTGCTCACACCCAGCTTGTGACTGAAGTCATCTCTCAACTAGTTGGGCGTTTCAAGCCGGAGGTTTCAATTATCAAGAAGCGGATCGAGGATCTGATCGTTCGGGATTACCTTGAGCGGCCGGAAGAGGAAGAATCGCCAAACACCTACCGATACGTTGCTTAAGGCAAGCTCGGGACTCACACTCCCACCTCTTTTCCGGGCCTGCTTCTTGGCCCTCATTGACGATAGTAACGACGATGTTCGACCCCTTGGTTGGACAACTACGAACACGTAACATAGCTGGTATAGCATTTTTTAATTTGACCGCATTATGGTGGCAAGGCGTCTAGAATTCAGGGCTTTGGGGGGTTGACTGTTTGCTTACTTGATAAACAGAGACAAGTTCACATAAGATCCCCGTACCGTGATGTATTCAGAATGAAAATCGCTCGGGGGCTCGGAAACAAAATAATCGACTGTGCAGTATCTATTCCCCATTTCCATGACAGTAAATGAATGTGTGTCTGTGTGTTTCCCTGACCCACTACATACGCTACTATTCCGCAGAGCCTCGTTAATAAGTTTCATACAACAGGCTGCTCGGCTTACGCAGATCACTCCTAGCTGCATTGGTTTGCTCCTTCCGACTTGCCAATGGTTGCCATCATCCCGGTTTGATTTCTCAATTTACACCCCACCAGTTTCATGCGTTCAGGTAGGGGCGGGATAGCAAGACTGATATACGTACTACTTATGATAGGTCATAGGCAATAACATAATACCATTCTCGTCCCTTCAGCCGTCAGGGATCATAGATATTACGGCGTTTAGTACAGTCAATAGATGGGATAGAGGAGACGCTACTCCGAAATATTGGTTCAGCTCTTGTTTCATGAACAAGCCATGTTGGCTGGGCTGACCTACTAAAATGCAAGCCGTCTGCAGGTCTTACACTAGGAGCAGGTGGCAACTCACCGGTCAATGTAGTTAGGAGGCTGGGAGGGTGCTTGTCACTCTTCTTAGGGAGGACCTAATAAGCCAGTGTTAGCATCACACGTACTGATTTGATATCTGTGATCCCTAAGGGTTGTGATGTACTGTTGCATTTCTGCCTTTTCGCAGCGCCTCCAGTCTGAGCAGTCACGATAATTCGAATACTCGTATAGGTGGTTACACATTGGGCTGACCACACGCCTGTATTAGTTTCTTACTATGCATAGAGCTGAGCTCGGTGAGTGTAGAAAGTAGAAATTGTGGCGTTCTGGGAGGATGGAGGCGTATGTGTGTCGGAAAGAAGACGATAACAAGGACGACTCCCTACGCCGCAGACGGATTCGTTTTCCATTACCTTCACTAAGCCTTATTAAAGAGGTGTATTTTCTTCTCCATCCTTCTTCAACTCTATCAGCTCTGTGCACACCAACTTACAAGCGCGAGACATACATTTGCCCTTACTTAAGTGACTTCTTTGTTTTTTTTCGTCCTCCTTTTTTGAGCAATATCCCAATACAAGATACCGGGAACCCCCTGCCATTACATCTAGCAACGATGGCAGACTTCCAAAGCGGCCTGTGGTGGGACTACTCTCGTCCATTTGGGTTTCAAGGGACTATTACCCTGCCGGTGACCCAAGGCAATATTTTCCTCTCATTCTTGACCTTTTGGGTTACTGTTTCAGGAGCCAGTCTCTGGGTGATATTTGCCTACCTTCTCCACAGTTGCATTGTCCGAAACAGACGCAACCAAGTTGAAATTTTCGATATCCAGCAGCGAGTTACCCTAATCAATTCAAAGACCCCCTTGGCAACCATCATCGACTCGCTCCGAATCTATATGGCCTGGTCGAAGCACAAGATTCCAGGCTTGCTTTCCCGGACGCTCGCCATCGTGCTTCCAACGATTCTGTTCTTTGTTGGGATAACGGCAGCGTCTGTCTTCACCTCTAAGGTTGCCACCAGTGGTGATACGGGTGGCCTTGGTCTTAGAAGAAGTCAGCTCTGTGGTCTCTACCGATACCTTGACCCAGCATCCGATGTATTATCATACAACAGCAATGAAAGCAGGCTCAAAGTGCTCATGAATCAGACGGTGGAAAGAAAAAATTACGCCGATAACTTTTACGTCAATAGCACTGCTTCACCCTCAAGATCTCCATATGTGACGCCAACATTGCCGCATAACGAGTCTCGAGTGGATTGTCCATTCAAAACCCAGGCCCGGTGCATCTTAGGCTTTGCTATGAAGCTAGAGTCTGCGCTCATAGACTCCCATTCCATGCTTGGAATCAATGCGCCACCATCAGACCGTGTACAATTTCAATCAAGGACGACCTGTTCTGTCGTCAACACAACTGGACTTGAAGAAGTATCAGGCAATTACCATCGCTACTTCCTGGGAGGGGTTAGGTCTAATTACACATATGAATATAATCGAGGTCTCCGAAGAGATGGTATAGGATACACTCTCAAGTAAGGAAGCAAGTTCCAACTGTTTTATACACTGCTAACGATCGGACTCTGTCCTACACATCAATAGAGGCTATGGCATGCAATGGGAACCGCTTGATGAATTAAGGGTCGACAACTCAGAGATGAGCATATTTATCATTTCAGGAAATAACGTGGGCTATACTCGGTCTATTTCAGATCCGTTCTTCCTAGCGACGGACTACGATAACGCGAACAAGCGTTTCATCTCGACCAACGACGCCAACTTTATGATCTGTGCAGAACAGTACCAGTTTTGCAACCCGGTTACACATCAATGCACGCCTTGGTCAACTAGCACATTTTTTAGAGAATCCATGATATCCCAGGGCTTAGAACTGAAATTTAACGACGCTCAGATGGCAACGGCATTGCGACTTACCGTGGAATTATATTTGAGCACTTCTCTTATTGTTGACCTACTGAGCACTGCAGGTAAATCTAAAGACCACGAACTAAACAGTGTTTGTGTAAATCGTGTTGGCTAACCTGAACATTTGACGATTCTAGCCCTCGATGCCAGCAGAAAAGTCATGTTTGACTTTGAAATGTCCATGGGGATTTCCACTGACCGTCAGTGGATCATTGAAGCTTCCAGGTGGTTTCAGATGCGGTTGGCTTTTCTTCAAGTGAGCGTTGCCAATTACATCAACGTGCCCGCGGCGGTATTTGACCTGCCTACCACAAAACTCAATGATGTTTCATGGCTGCAGGGTGAACTTGGGCTTTCCAAGGGGCAGGTGGGTTCCCTCAACGCGCAATGCCACACCCAGCGGGAGAGGGGCTATGGAAATATCCAAAGCTTCAGCTTCATCGGCGTTTTGCTCATTGTGATCGTTGGCAGCGGTCTCATAATCATCAGCTATAACATGACAAGTATCATGGATGCCTGCGGCCGCCTTGTCAAGGGCTTTGAAGCTATAAATGCCCGCGAAGGTGACGACAAACAGCATCTGCTGAGAATGGCTCTTAAAGCCAGCGGCTACCCGACCATTGGAGAGTGGAAAACAAGTTACTTTCGAGTGCCCGTCATCTCGCAACAAGAGATTGTCGAAGACCTCGAAGTGTCTGGAATAGAATTGACCTATTATCCATTGAAGGAGGCACAAGCGAGAGGACCGACCAACCCACACATCCAACAACACAATGCAAACTAGGTACCAAAATGACACCCGGACCTAGTACGGCCATTAAGACTCGCCTGACGGTGTGATTCTAAAAACCTCGTCTTATCACTACCGGAGAAGCAACTTGGTGGAATAAGAACTAGACAGCACTTCTCTCTGCGCGTCTCAGTCAGCAGATGAAGACCTCATCAAGCGATCGATTCTGCACAATTTCATGATCGAAGGATGAAATAAAACCAAAACTTCAATTCATATCTCCAGCTAATTCAATTGAAAGTAAACTTTTAATCTTTGAGATGGGCATTAAATATGTGAAGTAAATCCGGAGCCCTAGATTATCCTCGGATCAAGTTCCGACTTCCGCATAGTAGCCGAGAGCAGCTTTTCCGGTCATCGGCTCTCTCATCTCAACCAGCAGCACACGATCCATCCATTGCCCGATAGCTCGATCTCGGTTTTATTAGGATATCGCAATTGGGGCCTCTATTAATCCCTCTAATTTTCCGCTTTACGGATCCCCTCTTGGCCTACTTAAATATCGCAATTTCCAGCTCCGAGCTCACCACTTCACCATGTCCGTCTTCAGATACACAATGGCCAGGCTGGCTCCTCAGACGCTGGGCTCCCTCAAGCAGGCAGGCAAAGTTGTCTGCATTGGCCGCAACTATGCGTGAGTACTCATCTCTTGGCAACTCCTCCAGCGGGTGAGGATTGAGCTACTCTGATCATGTGAGCTAATAAGGGAGCGTCCAGGGACCACATTGCCGAGCTCAACAACATGAAGCCCAAGCAGCCCTTCTTCTTCCTGAAGCCCACATCTTCTATCGTGCTTCCCGGCGAGGGCCCCTGCTTACGGCCCAAGGGCGTCAACATGCACTTTGAGGTCGAGCTGGCGCTGGTCATTGGCAAGCTCGTGCGCGACCTCAAGGCCGATGACACCAAGGGTGCCATTGACGCCATTGCAGGTATGTTCCACTACAGAGAAGACCAAAGTGTTCAAAGACATCATCTAACGTATAATCAGCCTACGCTGTGGCCATTGACATGACCGCGCGGAATGCGCAGGACGAGGCCAAGAAGAAGGGTCTCCCCTGGGACATCGCCAAGGGCTTCGACACCTTCCTGCCCATGAGCAACGTCATCCCCAAGGCGGCCATCGCCAACCCGCAGGATGTCGAGCTCTTCCTCGAGGTTAACGGCGAGACCAGGCAGCAGGGGTCGACCAACCTGATGATCTACCAGATCCCCCGCATCCTGAGCGACATCTCCAAGGTCATGGCCCTGCACCCCGGCGACATCGTCCTGACCGGCACCCCGGCCGGCGTCGGGCCAGTCCAGCCGGGCGACGTGATGCGCGCCGGTGTCAGAGTCAGCGGCAAGGAGCTGGAGGAGGGTAAGATTGAGGTTCCGGTGGAGGAGTCGCCCAGCTCGTATGTCTTCAAGGAGACATAGAGATTTGCTAGAGCTACATCTAGTTCTGTGAGCTTTACGATGATTGAGTTGTAATGCTTGCAAGACGGGCAGAGTATCGGGTTTTGGGGAGGCGTGACTCGTATGTGTATATATATATTCATCTTGGGATAGATACGGGGAACACCGAAGGGCAGACAGACAGGACATCAATTATCAACAAAATAAATCACTTGATGCAATTCACTCCACTCCCAGTACTCTACAAGTGCTCTACATAGCATAATATCCAGCCACCTATTCCAGGTTGGGGTCCTTGATCGAACCCGGCTTCGGCGCAGACTCGACCAGGAGCCCGCACTTGCCGCACTTCCTCTTTGCATCATCACCCTTGAAGTCCTCAACGGCCTGCTTGACCTGCGTCCCCAGGTCGGTGCAGTGGAACGAGGCCTCGTGGACGACCTCGCCGCAGTCCGGGCAGTACCAGCGCAGGCGGTCGAGGGACCCCTCGGGCCGGCGCTGCTCCAGGACGACGCCGACGGTGTTGGCGAAGCGGACGGGGTTGTGGGGGGTGTTGCCCGGGAGGAGGAACATGTCGCCCTCCCTGATGATGACATCCCGGAACTTGCCGTCGTCGATGACCTTGAGCATCATGGCCCCCTTGTACTGATAGAACCACTCGGGGGTCTGGTTGATGTGGTAATCTGTACGGGCGTTGGGTCCGCCGACGATCTCGGGTCAAAGGTCAGTGACAGGTCTTCTCCATTTATAACTTGGGCCAGACCAGAGATAGCCGTTGGGAAGTCTGAATGGGAGAGAGAAAGGTGGGCTCAAACCATAACAGTAAAGTCTTCGTTATAGACACAATAGTTATTGATAGGAGGCTGGAGAAGATGCGAGTTCTCTTCCAGCCTGACGGAATGAGGATCGCGGGTTAGAGAATGTGGCCGAGTGAGTCATTGATAAGGCTTAGGAAACTCACCACTTGGGCAGATTGACTGGCGGTCCCAGCATGGTCTAAAGTGAGGCGCGGTCCTGTGGTGATGAGTATGTTGCGATAATCTAATCCGGAGCGTCGATGGTGTAGACAACAAGAGATGGAGCTGAAAAGAAAGAGCTCGGCTAAGCTGATCCACCGGCAGGAAGGATATTTCAAGGAACGATGGATTAGAAATACGACCAGAGAGTTTTAGTCATGAGCGATTAAGATCGGAATCATCGGCCACCTTCGTTGACTAGACCCCGCAATGAGATATCGATGGATGGTTTTCGAGCATTCGTTGACAGCCCCGGCTACAGTTACAGTTACAGTTCAACTCAGCTAAACTCAGCTCAGAGGGCAGAAACTCGGGGCGCGTCTTGACAACATCTGACAATTATTTTCATAGAAGGAATGTAGTAAAGCCTTAGTATTCCGCGTGTTCAACAACATAAAACCAATATAGAATCAAACAAGCCCAGAAAGCCTCCTGGACACATCTAAATGTCAACTCTTCTTGAGAAGTTGTTTCGACTTAAGGGGAGCTGCGGGGGGCATAGTGGACTCAGTGGGGAGCAGAGACCTGGAGCAGGGGCCTGATAGGGGACCGATAGGTATATCGCGTGCGATCCCAGCGACCTGCTACCTATCGGGTGCCTACCAGAGGGGCCTAATCAATCGTCGGCATATGATTACGTAGGATCGACCTGCTGTAGCCGCCAATGCAACAGCTGACCAGCTACCATCACCTCATCCTCCCACAGCTATCCTCCCAATCGTCCTCCCTCCCACTGCGACGCGCATATTTGAGCACTTTCTCGGCTCACACAGAGGCTCTCGGTTCTTCTCAAGGACCAATCCTCCCCCTTTCTCATTCTTCCCAAACTGAGACGAACTCCATCCCTCGATATCGATACCCTCTTCTCAAAGCGACCGATCCTCAAGCACACGATGGACCACCACGCCCACATGAATCACGGTGATATGGATCATGGCGATATGGACCATGGAGGTCATGGAGGCATGGAAGATATGTGCAACATGAACGTATGTGCAATCTCCCTCGCATTGTACTGTGTCCCCCCATGCTGACAGGGCGATCCCCATCCAGATGCTGTTCACTTGGGACACCACCAACCTCTGCATCGTCTTCCGCCAATGGCACGTCCGCTCTACAGCATCCCTCATCTTCTCCCTCCTTGCCGTAGTCCTCATCGGCATCGGCTACGAAGCCATCCGCGCCTTCTCCCGCCGCTATGAGCTCGCCTCATCCAAGCGCGTCGAATCCCTACCGAGTAAGCACCAGATCCCCCTCCCCCTCCCCCTCATTCGCTTCTTTATCCCAGGGCGGTCCCAGGAGTTGGGTCGGGAATTGGAGGACTCGGCTCAGGCCCCTCGCCTTTTTCTTCCATCTTTCCTTCTTCATCATGTCTTGGGGCCGTGCTGATGAGATTTGCTTCCCGTTATTGAGGTGGCCTTGACTCCGTTACTGAATCAACACCCTTCCTCCCCGCAGGACAAACCCAGGCCCAGCTCTCCCAGCGGACGCACGTCATCAAGGGTGCCCTGTATGCGCTCCAGAACTTTTACGCATTTATGCTCATGTAAGGAATTTGTGCCCATTTCATCCTATCCCTATGTTCCTCGTGCTTACCTCTCACGCTCGGTGCCAGGCTCCTGTTCATGACGTACAACGGCTGGGTCATGATTGCTGTTACCCTGGGCGCGTTCTTTGGATACCTCATTTTTGGAAAGTCATCTTCTGCGACCAAGGAGAACGCTTGCCACTAACGATAAACCATGGCAAAATTATCCTGAGATATCTCAATTGCCATCTATGCTATATATATGATGTCTTGCTACTTAACATGGCACCCGCCCCTTGGCTTCCGGGAGAAGGAGACTGAATTATATCGGGAATGAACAACTATCATGTCCCGGTGACCGGCATTCTTTCTATAGATCTACATCCCCATCGCTCTACATGACTAAAGAATAGAAAAAAAATGAAATCTACCTACGCTTGGGGCGGCTCTCCCTACATCTTGGCCGGCTCCTTCCCCGGCTCCGACCTCTGCTCCGAGACCTCCTTGAACTGTCCCTCCGCCTCGGCGATCATGATGATGTCGGCGTCCCCGAACCCCTCATTGTGCTCCATCTCGGGCTCCTCGCCGTACGCTATCCGCGCGGCGTCCACGAGCACCCGCGCCGTCATCCCCCACACCTTGAACCGCCCCTCCCTCTCCTGCTCCTCCTCGAGCCGCTCGGCCAGGTTGCTCTGCGCGCTGCCCCGCCGCGGCCGCGACACCCGCTGGTTGTTGACGGGCACGTAGAAGTTGTGCACCCGCCACGGCACGTCCTTCCACGAGATCCACGACCCGTCGTACCAGTGGCCCTCCGGGAGCGGGGTTGGGGTCTCCCCTCCTTCTACTCCAGAAGAGGGTGGGGGCAGGTCCTCGAGCTTGAGGAAGTTGTAGAAGGGCGCGCTGAAGAGGGCGGCGACCTCGCGGGCGTCGAGGCGCGGGATCATGGACTCGTCCACCAGGGGCGCGGGGTCCCTGCCGCCGCCGTCGGCGTGGAGGAAGGCGACGCAGGGCGTGACGACAAGGTGAGTCCGCGCGAGGGAGGGCGGGAGGCAGCAGAGCTGCTCTATCCTAAAGGGCTTGGGGAGGGCGAAGTCGTCCTCTGGAAGGCCAATCTCCTCGGAGGCTTCGCGGCGGGCGATCTGGTCTATAGAAGGGAACGTCATTAGTAGTCCGGTGAAAATAGGTGGAACCCTCTTTCAGCTAGGGTTGGGCTGGGCTACTCCAACTCTCCAAAGAGGTAGATATAGGATGGGTGAACGTACATGGTGTCTCATCGACGCTGTCTGCCTTTCCACCGGGGAGTGCAGCGTGGCCAGAGAAGCTCCGGAGGCTGGCAGCCCGCATGGTGATGACCACCCTCAGGTCCCCCCATCTGTCTGCGTAGAGCAGGATAAGGACGGCAGCCCGTTTCCGGGCAGGCAGCTGGTCCCAGAAGGGAAATGGCGGTGGCCGATAGGCTCTTAAGCGAGCTATGGCAGCCTATACATAATTTCTTATCAGAGAAAGGCCGAATGAAGTGAAGAAGTTGGTGCAAGATAGCGGAATGCGTTCATGTATATCAAAGTAAAGGTGCTTTATGAACAAGGGGTGGCAAATGCATCAGGTACGAACCGCAGAGAGAGCACTTAGAGGAGCCATTGTAGACGCGTCATAATACAAGGAAGCTTCGGTAGGTAGTCCGAGGTCGATCTCAGTCGCGACGATGTCCTGGATCTTCTCCCTGACGGTGTCGATGAACTCGGGGGTGGGACTGGAGCCTATAGTCTGCGGCGGGATATTGGTAGATGGGTCCTCGGTGCCTTGATCCAAAGTAGATGTCGGCTCGGGACTCATTATTCAATTTGCTGTTCGCCTATCCCGGAGCTTGGGTAAGTTCAGGAAAAGGGGGGGGCTTAACTCGGTGTGGGATCCGTTTGTCAGCGCCGAGAGCAAAAGTGCCAGGGAAGAGGAACAAGGCACGTTGATTGATTAGTGCAGAAGTCAAGTTTATCAAGTTGGGTAGTCCCGTTGGCATCTACCTAATACAAGCCGAGGATCGGGCTTCACGGCGGCAACGATCATGCGGGGGTGGGGCTAACGTCGTCCCGATTACCGATAAGATAAGAGCTCCAAAAAAAAGTCTTATCGGTCCATTTCCGCATGGCATCGGGTTTGGGTTAAATTACATCACGCGTCACGTCACTTGAGTCGCTTTCCGCGCGAAGAGGCAAGGAAAGCTGAGTTGTTGGTGACATTTACGAGATGGGAACACACGCGCAGTTAGAGGAACAGTTCAGGTTCAGAAAACATAGTAAATTGCCTTTCCGAAGGGGGGTATACCGAGTATGCTAATATTCTATACGCTTTCAAAATCAAATAAACCAATAACCCTGGGAGCCAGCACCCAGTTTCTATAACACCGCATCGCTATGTCTAACAAATGGAAGGTAACGACAGAACTATACTGAGGCATTCTGCAACCTGAGAACATGAAAACAAAAAATAAAAGTAATAAGTAGATCCGAAATCCAAACCAAAAATGCTAAGGGGTAATGCAATAATCGAATAATAGTAAAACAGGAAAGCGTAACTGTATGCAAGAAGAGAACAAAAAGGAAAATGCCGGGGGGAGGGGATGAATTTGACAAAGGAACAATCCGGTCCCACAGCAAGGTATTGTTGTCGTGACGTGACATTGAGTCTTTTTCGCTTGTTCCAAACTCCCAAGTAAAAGGACAGACATAGGAAAAGGAAATAGGGAGAGACAGGTGGGACGGAAGGAGGTATGATCATATCACCCTCCCGCCTCCGATGAATTCGATTTGCATTGGCGATTCTTTCCTAGAGCTCCGTTGGAAACCTTTGGCCTTGGCTTTGCTCACGGCGCCCCTTGCGGTCCCTATCAATTTGTCGGCGACCATGTGAGGTGCCACCGAGGACGGCACAAACGAGCCCGGAGATCGATACCGCCCCTCGAGATTCTCGTGGTAGTAGTTTCTCAGGGGCGACGCCTCGTTCGCAAGCCAAGTCTTGAACTCCCTCAGTTTGCCCGAGCTATCGAGGTCATCGTCGTCCGAGTCGCTGTCAAAGGCGCTATGCGTGACCGGCATATCCACAGCAGACCGAATCATGGGAGGTGGCGCAACCATGGGAGGGTTGATGGCTTGGGGAGGTGCACGACGCCGGCTAGTGCGACCACTAAAGCCGCGGGCATGATGGACCCCGTTCTCTTTCGCGTCGAAGCCTAGAGGCAGCTCGATTCGGGGAAGGTTGTCTGAGAGATGCGACTGCGCCGGCTGTTCCTTGGGTTGCGACCTCGGGGCAGGCGGCTGGGAGTTGGTTTGAAGATTGCGAGATTGTTCGTGGCGAGGAGGCTGCTGGGCCTGGTGGTAAGAAGGATCGGGGACTTGGTTTTGGAGAGACTTTGGGGCCTCGGGGGGAGGAAGAAAATCATCATCGAGACTCAGACTTCCAAAGCCGCTGGTGAACTCATTCACCAACATATGATACTCGGCAGACGCTGCCAAGTCGGCGGCAGCCTGCAGCCTCTCCTTCTTCAAACTCTCCTCAGCCCTGATCTCAAACAGCAACTCTTCATCGTCGATGGAGCTACGCGAGCTCGCTTCGCTCAGGTAGCTTGGCCCGGAAGTGCTGCTCCGATTACTATCCACGGAGATCCACGACGGTATCCGGGATGAGTCTTCTTCAGGGGCAAGACCAGACGATTCAGAAACCTCGAAGAAACCGCATCCTCCGTCCATGTCCATCGACGGTCGCCATTGATGCATTCTGGCCAGGGGTGCAGAAGTAGGTTGTTCAGTGTACGGCATGGTGCCTGTCATGCAGTCTCGTCCTCCTTTTCGATTATTAGTAGGGTAGTCAGGGGAAGTAGTATTATGGTTGATGTTTTTGGTGTTTTTGGCGGCTGTAGGCGTAGTAATAACAATTGGGGAAGAAAGTATGAGGAAGGGAACCAGGGGATCATCGTCAACATCAATGTTGCAGCCCGTGAGCTGTTTCACTTTTTTGGACGAATTGTGGCCAGTGGCGCACAGGCTGTTGAGGCTCGAGCGATGAGATGACTGCCGTCCTGCTGCGGGCGGAGAGCCCTGGTGAGCCTCTGGCGCTGACCCGCTCGCCCCAAGAGCGTCACTCTTGAAACCGACAGCATGTCCGCGGACGGCTCCAGGTGGCGATTGACCAGGGTCCAGAGGCAAGGGAGGCAGAGGTTTTACGCTGCGAAAATGGATGTTGGCGTGCGATGTTGGGATGTGGTTGGACGATGCTTCATCGCCAAGCCTGGACGTCAGCCCTGTGGTTTTGGATTGAGCTGGTCTTTCATCAGCTCGTTGTGGGATCCAGCGCAGCAGTGACAAAGCGTCTGGCGGGCGACGAGGCCGCGGCGGAGGGCGCTGGGACATGGTGTGAACGCTGTAATTGAACGCTGTAATTGAACGCTGTAATTGAACGCTGTAATGCTGCCTTGGTGCCTGATCGAGGAGCCTGCTAGGGCTGGTGGCGACTGTTGCTGCACTGGGCTAGTGCCTCCTGGGCCTGTATGATCCGCCCAGGGTATGAAAGCTTGGTGAAAGCGAGATGGAAATATGTACACAGCACGGTCAAGGATGAGGCCCAAGATGAGCTGACGATGTCGATGGAATGTAGATCAAGAGATAAACTGAATGATGATAGATAAAAGTTGTGGTGTTGTAAAGGAGAAGAAAGAGGAGAGGGATGGAGTTGGCATGAAGGGATAAATGCACACACTCTTTCTGCACCCGGCATTGCTGTACGATTCAGTTCTCAGTGTTAGCATCCGCGGGCAGTTGCCATGGTTGGACAAGCACAACAGCCTTTGTCAACTCTATTCCAGCTCATGTGCCCCCCTCCTCCCTCTAGTTAACAATCAAATGCCTGAATGAACAGTCTAGCCCTACAAATACATTAAACAAAGGAAAAAGACATCCATCCCTCAATCCTTTGTTGGTGGTGTACATGAAAAGTATAACAGCACCTAGCAAACGTCGCTCTCTCTTCACTCACCTCCTCGCTGTTGCGAAAATCGGAGAGAGCAAACGAACACCAACCACGGCGAGCCAGGTATCACCGGTGTCATGCCCCTCATGTCCAGGAAGCTGAAAGCAACAATGTTTCCTATGCGCATACACCGCGCATGCGTGTAGCCGTATGCTTCACTTGCTCCGACAGCCCAATGCTAACCATCCCGGCGGAAACAAAGCACCAGCCAGCCAATAAGCGAAGAGGCAAATGGCAGGACGATGCCATGATTCGGGCATGACACGACACTGGCAAGTCACCTCGTGGGCGGGTGTTTTAGAATTGTGAAACACGGGTGAACCTGCAGGCTGGGAGCTGGCAGCTACCGAGAGCCACGATACCAGAACGTGGCCCCAGTAGGGCGATGAGCTGACCGACGATGCTGGAAGGCGGTGGGAAGTTCCGCGGCCAGCGACAGGGGATTGCCAGCAATGGGTTTGTCCTTGGTGCACGGGACTTCTCGCAGAGCAGCGTTGTGATTCCACGGACCGAACGTGGGCGGCGATTGCTGGTGGATGCCCCAAAATAGACAAGGCAAGCACCCAATTAGATTGCTGAGTTTTCCCACTTCAAATCGTTCACTTCAACTTGCATCAGTCTGCCTTGACCTCACGTGAAAACAAGCATGCAGCAGCGCGTATTGTCCGTATTCAAGCAAACGTCATGGAAAACTGCAGCCTTGTTCTACGATAGTTGCCAACACGGCATCCACCCAAGTCTGCACACCATTGCCGGATGGTGAATCCGTCCAGCAGACGCAGTCCATCCATCCTATCCCACTAGCGCCATCTATGGAAGGTTCTAAATATTCCGCCAGATTACCGACAGCAAGGTCTGGAACACAGTAGTTATTTCGGGTCTGGCAATTCCTGCACTCTCCTCAAAACGACAGGTGCAAGCTCTGACCTTTACAAGATTAGTTGGTAAATGGCCGGATACAGGGCATCCGAATCTGACATCCCAGCAGCGTCGCCTCGAAGAGTCGAGCTGTCACCATGTGGCAATTTGAGGCTGAATTCCAGCTGCTCGCCTGGGCACTAAAATAAGCTCCGGGTCCCCCACTTGCCTACATCCAACGGCGGGACGGAGATGATCCTCAGCAGCGATTATTTCATTACAGTGCACCTAAAATTATGACCTGTTGCGGCCTTGCCTTACCTTACCCTGGCCTGCCCATTAACTCCCTCGGAGGACTGTCCAGTCACTTGGCCCTGCACTGCCCAGGGGCCTCGGGAAGCGCGTATTAATACCACATTGCCGCGTCTTCCCCTTTTCGGGAGTCATTGATCAGATACATGTGAAGAAGCCCCGTCGGCGCTGGGCATGTCATAGCGTGCATATTCAGACCTGCTAAAAAGGCGTCCGGGTCTTCATACCGTGTTTGACTTGGTCTGCCATGCCCAAAATCTTACCCACAAAGCTATATGCCGTCCGTTTCAGGGAACTTTCGAATGCCGTCATCCTTCTCATCTAACGAGGACGAGGAGTAGCCGGCTTCGTGTTTCCGTTTTTACTCGTCATCTGGAGTCTAGACTCTGCACATGTTCGTCCAGACCATTGGGTCATGCAAATACCGTGCGTGCATACAATATTTATTATCCACATGCATCAAGGTATCCCCGTGTCCTGCCATATGAAGAAAATGCATGATTCGCACAAGAATAGAGTAGATACAAGAGAGAGAAAGGGAAAGGTACATCCCTAAGTTTAAAAAATCTATGCCAAAGCTCCGTCACTCTATATACCGAGAGAATATACTTTTATAGTCCCCAACACCTGATAGCCTGTAAATCAACCATCGCATTGCCCAATGTAGATGCTTTCCTGGAATGTCTAGACCTCGTCATCTTCATCGTCATCGTTGTCATGGTAGTTTCCAAGGAGGATGTCATCAGTCCCGAGACCCGCAGGCGTCTGTCGGATCGACTCTGTCTCAACACGGAAGAAGATCCAGACCCACCGGCGGAACACCTCGAGAACCTCAATCAGGAAGATGCCGCTCTCAAAGTCGGTGAACTTGTCCAGGTGCGGGCTCAGCTTCATTGACCACGTACAACGGAGCATCAGGTCCATGACGATGACAACGTAGTACAGGCTGATGGGCCTCATGATCAGCCGGTCCCGTAGACCAAAGGGGTGAGTGTGTGCCGTCCGTTCCTTCTTCGAGAGGAACAGAGTCAAGTCCCAATCCTTGGTGACATCCCAGTAAAAGGAGTAGAGCGAGTTCGCTAACACCGCAACCAGCCAGGCTTTGTTGAGGGCCGCCTTTGCGGCGGGGTCGCTCGAGTTCCTCTGGAGCGTGCTGAAGATGATGACGGGGAACGCAGACGAGTACTTGAGCGCATTGGCAAGATGCTGGCCGCCCCAGCCTGTTGACTCCTTGTAGGGCGCCCGGCGGACACGGAGGTATTCGATCAAGCACTGCCTGAAGCGAATCAAGCTCGGGATGGCCATCAGGAGTGGGACGATGACCAGTCCTCCACAGTTGCGATCCGGCCGCTTCGTCGATGACCCCTCTGGCTTGAGGAACATGCAGAGGGTGACAAATAGATCTCCAAAAACCTTAGCGTAGGAGGTCAACACATCAGCCAGAAGAATGTCCCCAAACTTGCCATCTGCGGCCTCTGCGATGCCACCAATGCTCACACGTCGGAGGGTCGCCAAGAAACGCCGCCTTCCGTGGCTGGGCAGGTCCTGGATGGGGACAATGAAGACTGCGACGAGAGCCACCAGATAGGTCAGAGGTAGCCAGTCGTAGGCGATAACTCGAGCCGGGATCCGCCATGTGAAAAGCCAGAACAGGACGATGGACACTCCAAATAGACTCGAAAGGACGGTGGCGAGGCGGTAGGTCGAGAAATGATGCGGCGCATGGTGCACTGACGATCGCGCAGGATATCGTATCAGGCTGGGCACGTCGATCTTGAGGTTGTATAGATGGTGCAGATTGATACCCCAGCCCCAGACAGCTGCGACGCCCACAAATGTCAGCAAGAGGAATCAAATGGATATTCATGCCGATGATTGAATACTAACCAAGCGTAACAATGAACCCTACTCGGTACGGCAGAGGAAAGGTCAAGCTGAAGGAGTCGAGCTCCGACTCCACCGCTGGGTCACCGTCCATTGCGCCAAGTCATCAGTTGGGGACCTCGATGCAGCTGTGAATTCGCGGTATGCTCGAGCGGGTTGATGCTACAGGGAACTTTGGCGAAAGTAATATCGTGAGGTTAAATGAGCGACATTGGGCTGTTGCAAGCGGCAGTTTGCGACTGCAAGATGCAACGGTTGAAAGCTTAAAGAAAGGGATGATGCACGAAAGTTGTCCATCTATCTACTCCCGCTAAACCCACCGGATTGGTGGGGGCCACGCTTTCGGGGGCTCAGGGGGGTGCTTATCTCGATTGTCACTGGTCATTGGATCTACAAAGTTGCTTTCAAATAGATCTATTGCTCCCGAACTATCTAATCTCTAAGATTGGACTTGAAAATTAATTGCGCAAGGCATTACCGGGTCCCTAGCTCTGTTCGATAATCTCCTAAGGCTTGACTCTATAATTTTACTAAGTGCTGTTCCAATGCAATTGCGTCTTGCTTGAGAGATCCCAATCAGCAATTGCAGATAGAGGAAGTACAAAAAGTTCAATATTTAAAGCTATGTAACACCATCATCATATACCATCATCAATTAGCTATGTACAACTAATATGCATATTCAGAAACAAATATTTAAAAAACCATGAAGATGAACCAATTTGATAATGTATCCCAACTCTACAGCTGGTGGAATGGGAGAGATATAGGGTAAGTCATATGTGACTGAAGGAATCAATTAAATATTAGACCCCAGCCGATTCATTGTGGATTACACATGATATCCCGAGGCTCAACAGCCGCCTACCGAGCCCAGAACTACAACAACACCGAGCGTCCAACTCCCAACCTGGCACCAAAATATCAATCGAAATAAAGTCAAACCCGAGACCCAAGAGACTATAGGACTGGGCCTCTCATATACCGCGCATATTCGAGTGCGCGACAGCCATTGACCATGTCCACAACCGAGACCGAGACGTTACCCTCGCCAGCGACGACCGCCTCGTCCTCCCTCTCCTCGCCATTCCCCTTCGCCACAGCCCCAGACATCATCCGCTCGCACCAAAAGGATGCCTACTTCACCGGCCATCTCACAAACACCCTCACAGACCTCCACCGCCGCCTCCTAGGCGCGCGCGCCACCCACGCCGTCGCCCCGGAGCTGCGCACCTCCGCCTCCCTCCTCTACTTCGCCCTCACCACCCTCGCCGGCAACCGCACCCTCGGCGAGGAGTACTGCGACCTCGTCCAGCTCGAGGGCGACACGGGGAAGCTCCCCTCCCTGGAGCGCCGCGCCTCCTACATCGCGGGGAGCATCCTCCTCCCCTACGCCGCCTCGCGCGTCCTTCCCCCGATCCGCGCCCGCCTCCGCGCCCTCCTCGACCGCCGCGTCGACTCCCTCCGCAAGAGCGGGAAGGCCGCCTCCCGCGAATCCCGCCTCTGGTCCTACCTCTCAACCAACCTCGCCTCCGTCACCTCCTCCACCCCCGTGCAGGCTCTCACCCTCGCCGCCTTCTACTTCAGCGGCACCTACTACCAGCTCTCCAAGCGCCTCCTCTCCCTCCGCTACGTCTTCACCCGCAACGTCCCCGACACCCCGGACCGCGCGGGCTACGAGGTCCTCGGCGTCCTCCTCGTCGTCCAGCTCGCCGTCCAGGGCTACCTGCACGTCCGCTCCACCCTCCAGCAGGAGAAGGACGCCGCCGCCGCCCGCGAGAGGGCCATGATACCTGCCGACGTCGACGTCTCCCTCAGCCATGATAATTCCTACTACAACAACAACGACCTGCTCCTTAACAGTGACCTTGGCGGCGCGCAGGCGCAGGCCACCAGGATCGACATCGCGTCCACCACGCACACCCCCGTGGGGTCCACGCCCAGGTACGTCCTCGGTGACGACAAGGTCATGGGCTTCATCAAGGGCCAGCAGCAGCGGAAGTGCACGCTGTGTCTGGAGGAGCTCAGAGACCCGTCCGCCACGCAGTGCGGTCACGTATTCTGCTGGGAGTGTATTGGCGACTGGGTGAGGGAAAAGCCTGAGTGTCCATTGTGTAGGAGGGAGGCGTTGGTTCAGCACATACTCCCATTACGAATAGCATAGCACAGCGCGGTACATATTATATTAACATGTAAAATTGAACTTATGCATAACTAAGACTAAGTCGTAGAAATCAAAAAGTAATTCGACATAGAAGAGACTCTGTTGTACATCCAAGTTTTGGAATCAACAAAATTGCTGTACAAACAAAAACAGACATGGCAGGTGACCTCTCAACATGAAATTAGTCGCCGCTCCGAAAACGCTCTCCCAGGCCTTGCCAAGTGGTATCTTTGTCCTCCCATCCTATCCATTACTCCGTCACCCTCCCAAGGGTCTCCGACCTTCTGCAGTCATAGTTCTTCGTCAAATCCCAAAAACCCGGTTGTTCCCCTCGTAGTATATCCTGTCGTGATAGTAGTGACCAAATAAGCTTCAGCAAGCTTTGTGCTAGTGCTATATACGGAGCTTCAAGACCAGCTCGGAGCCTTTCTGTCCATCCGTATGGGAAGCATATGTGAAAAAAAGAAGAGAAAATAAAAGTAACAAACGAACGACAAAGAAGAAGATAAAAATATAAGAAGCATAAAAGCTTCCGAGAATCGTCTATGCCAACCTCGACCCGAGGATGTCCCAGTACAGAGTGATGGGGTGTCCATCACTGAAGATTCTTCAGGGATATCTGAGATAAAGAAAGGAAAAAGGAAAAAAATCAGGGAAAAAAGGCGCTTGAACTCCAGTAACACCCAAGTCATGCTCCAGCATTAATATATATTGCAGGATCAAGTCCGTTGGAACAGTTCCGTTGGTTAAGACTCAATTGAAAACAAGACAATTTCGCCTTGGTCATTACGTCGCAGTCGAATGGAGCGCCATAGTTCTTTTTCCTCCATGTGCTTGGACATATCGGTGCCGGCGGCCTTGCGCTCCCGGTGGAATCGTTTGAGAGCCTTGTTCATGCTGCAACCACGCTCGCTCTCCGGGCCCTTGTCGACGAAATCGAAGAATAGGTCGGCACGAGGCCTGAACACAACCATCTGGTTGGAATCTTCACCCTTCTCGCCTTTGGGTTGGTACCCAATGAGTTTGGGGCTCTTTGGGCTCTTCTCCTTGGATTGTTTAGAAGACGAGTGCTTCTTGGAGGAGGAGGATGAGGTCTTGCGCTTCTTCGTCTTGGATTTGGAAGAACTGGACTTGGAACTGGACTTGGTGGCAGCAGAAAGCATGCCAAACAGGCTGTTGCTGACCTGGCCTTGCTTGTGATTCTTCGAGTGCTTGGTCTTCTTGAGGGGGCTGGTCGGCAACGGTTCCGACCCATCGTCACCAGAGTAGTCTGGCGGTGGGGGGAGGTGCGCTTTCATCATCCCCTTGAGCCCACCGGTGAGGCCAGAATGGTGAAGAACGGGGGGAGCATCGGTCATGTCTTGGTCTGATGGAATGTCGACGTGCAATCGCTTTCTCTTCTTATCACCCTTGACGCCATCCTTGTGCTTCTTTCGCTCACTTCTGGAGGGAGCGGGAGTCTCGAAGGAGCTGTCGCCGTACTGCGGTAGACCCTCATCATCATCCATGAAGGATGTCGGGTCGAGGAGGTCATCGGGGTTTCCTTCGTAGCGAACGAGGGAGGTGCTCTCGGTGGGCATCAGTACCTTCGGCTCATGGGGTAGTTCTAGGTTGGAGGCATTTGGCGTCTGGGAGGCGACGAGGAACTCGAATACATCGACCTTGTCGTCGCTGATGGCAGCTGGCGGTGTGGGTGCTTCTGGGAGAAGCTCTGCTGGAGATTTTTCATCATCTGTCTGGCCAAAATCTTGGTAGTTGGCCCACGACTCTTCAGCATCCTCGACATAGGCGTGCTGGGCCATCATGTTGTGATCGTTGTTTTGTTGTTGTTGTTGGTTGGCGCCGTTCTGAGTCTTCGGTTTCTTGTTCTTATCTTTATAGAGGGCGCCCTGGTATTTCTGCTCTTCGGTCATACAGCTCTGTGGAAGACTTGTCAATGCTATTCTATCGGAAGGCAATGGCCTTGATACAGACGTACTGTGTGAGAGCGGTAGTCGGTTCCGAAGAAGTGTACCATGCAGTCAATGCAGGTGAATGTGGCGCCGTGGCAACGATTTCGATGAGGGTCGAGTTTCTTCTTTGTTAGAATATCGCCGCAGGACTGTTGTTCGTATGGGTTAGAAATCAAGTCTTCTTGCTGAAGTGGTGTGAGGTGTTTCGAGATTGGAGGAGCTGCCGTCGTTGACTGCGGTGGGGGGTGGCCTTGCGCGCGCGAGGGACCAAGATATATATAAATGAGTTGCAGAATGGGAAGGGGGGGCAGTAGGCAGGGGATGGTTCAAGGACCGCGCGATCAGCGAAACAAGCAAACAATAATCAAACTAGTATTGTATGGAGCCATGGGAGAGGAAGGGGCGCGTGTTTTGGGGGTGAGGGTGGGCAGTGTAGGGCGGGTGTGTATTGGGGAGTGATGTCAGGGCTTCGATGGGTCTGGGGATGGTGGGATGAGTGCGAATGGGACTTGGATGCGTCTGGTCCGGTCTAGGATGGAAGCAAGGGTCCGATCATAGTAAGGAAACCTGGCGGCTGTCTCAATGTAGGTACCGGACAGACGAGGTAGGGGAGACGAAGAAGAGGGGGGAGGGGTGAAGGGGCAGGGGGGCGGGTGATGAAAATGGCCATTATCCATCTGGGCTGGATAAAGAAGGAGTAATCAACAAGCTATTACACACCTCGCACGAGAAGGAGACCATGATGTCGGGTGGTAAAACCGGGTCTCTGTTTGCTGTCCGTTGTTCTTAGTTGGGCCGGGACTCGATTTGACTGGCCCACGGTATTTAACGGAAGTGCAGTAGAGCAAGCACTGGTCGAGTCTTTGGGCGACTATGCAGATGTGCTCGATTGTGACTGGCTGGTCGCGGGTCCGTTGTGAAAGCTGCCAGTCTATTCGATAGAGGCCAGAGTTGCCGATGCGAAGGAAGGTAGTAAGATCAGTGCCTGAATCCTGCAAATTTTCACGCGCTCTGGCTCTCGTCCGTCTTGTGAGCTGGAGATCTTGGAGACGGATGGTGATGAGAGGAAGGCGTTCTTTGGGGAGCAGGCTTTGAGAAGGGTGATCCTGCGACTGTCGGTGGAGAGCAAGTATGAGAGGGAACCCTAGTCGAGGTGCCAGGCAAGTATTCCGGGATATCTCGAGTGGAGGGAGAGAGGGCGACGGGGCGCACAAGGGCAATAAAGCTTCGATAATTATGCGAATTTGTGGGAGGAAGAGAAAAAAAAAGGAAGCACAGATTGATAGATATGGGGGGACCTGGAGGGGCGGGAGATGGCTTCACAGATTCTTGGGGGCCTGCGGCTGCGATTGCGCTAGCAGGATTGAGAAAGCTGTGAAACCCTGGCGCACCACAAGCAATGGCAGATCTGATGCAGTGCAGGAGTTGATTCGTGAGCAACGACTAGATTGCGCGCTGTAGCAGAGAACCTGTAGGTGGTGAGGGGTGTCCAGTCTTGGTTGGGCGTGGTGCAAGGGCGCTCGCTGTACCTTGCGTTTTGACGGTGTTGCGGGTAGTGAGGTGATGCGATCGAAAAATCACGGGTTCCTGGCAATGGCGACAAGTTCTAGACGGGCCCAGCGGGCTTTTCTTACGCGAAATCCTCGTGCAAAATAAACAAGCAAAGACACAAGGGAAATCTATGCGTTGTTAATGCAGTGCTCGGACGAAGCAAATAATGTTGATATGAAGAGCCTGAAGAAAAAAAAGATAGAGAAAAAAAAAAAAACGGCCCCTCCAAGGTGCAGTGATAGACTCACCACACTCTTATTTTGCGAACCC